ACCCAATAGGTAGTTTTTCCACCCCAACCTCCCCATTTTGGAATCCCCAGTTTCTATTATTTTTCTTCCTAGAGTTTTTTGAGGAGTCTTTAGGATTTTTTACATGTAAGATTATGTCATCTACAAAAAAGGACAATTTGCCTTTCTCTTTTCTAATTTAGATGAACTTTATTTCCTTTTGTGGCCTAATTTTTCTTATAAGGAATTCCAGTTCTATCTTAAATACAAGTTGTAAAAGTATATATTCTTTTCTTGTTCTGGTTCTTAAAAGAAAGGCTTTTAGCTTTTCTCCATTCAGTGTGATATTGGCTGGGTTTTTTTCATATTTGGCCTTTATTGTCTTTAGGTGTAATCTTTCTATACTTAATTTTTTAGAGTGTTTATTATCAAGGGAGTTGAATTTTATCAGATGCTTTCTTTGGATTTGAGATGATCATATGATTTGTTTTTCGTCTTATCATTCTGTTGATGTGATGTAGCACATCTATTGATTTTCATATGTTGAACCATCCTTGCATACCTGGGATAAATTCCACTCAATCATAGTGTATTTTTTTTTTCTGTTGTGCCGTTGGATTCAGATTCCTAGTATTTTGTTGAGGATTTTTACATCTATGCTAATCGTGGCTATTGACCTCTAGTTTTCTTTGTGATTGTTGTTGCATCCTTGTTTGGTTTTGGTATCTGGGTACTGCTGACCTCATAGAATGAATTAGGGAGAGTTTCCACCTTTTTAATTTATTGGAAGAGTTTCAGCAAAATAGGTGTTCTTTTTTTAAAGCTTTTTGGTCCTAGGCTTTTTGTTGGGAGACTTTTTTATTGCTGATTTAATCTCGTTACTCATTATTGATCTGCTCAGGTTTTCTGTTTCTTCCTGATTTAATTTGTGAGATTATATGTGTCCAAGAATGTATCCATTTAATATAAGTTTTCTAATTTCTTAGTGTGTAGTTGTTCATAATAATTTCTAGTGATCCTTTGTATTTCTGTTGTATCAGTTGTAATGTCTCATTTTTTATTTCTGATTTTACTTATTTGGGTCTTCCTTTTTTCTTGATTAGTTTAGCTACTGGTTTGTAAATATAGTTTATCTTTTCATAAAACCAATGTTTCATGTGCTCCTTTGTGGGTTTTTATCTCTATTTACTTCTGCTTTAATCTTTCCTTCTTCTTACTTTAGGTTTGGCTTGTTCTTCCTTGTCTGGTTTCTTGAGTTGCTTTGTCAGATTGATAAAGTGAAATTGTTCAAATCGTTTTAAGTGTTTATTGCTGTAAACTTCCCTTTTAGTACTACTTTTCAGTACACTGTAAGTTTTTGGCATGCTGTGTCTATATTAATTTGTTTCAAGAAATTTTTTGGTCTTTTTAAATTTCTTCATTGAACCATAAGTTTCTCAGGGTCTTTTCTCTTTTTTTCTTTATTAATCTTATTAATGGTTTGATTTCCATGTATTTGTAGAATTTCAAAAGTTCCTCTTGTGACTGATTTCTGATTCTACTTTATTATAGTTTGAGAAGACACTTGATATGATACTGATTTTTGAAAATTTCTTGAGGCCAGTCTTGTGGCCTAACATATAGTCTATCTTGTGGAATGTTCTGTGTGCTGATGTCAATAAATGGATCTAAAATGGTTTACAGACCATATTTGGTCCAACAGCTACAGTTGGACCAAATATGTTCTGTAAGCCATCTTTACATCCATTTGGATGGACATTTTTGAAGGTAACTTTGTTGGGTATAGTATTATCATCAGTAGGCTTTTTTGTTCCAGTACTTTGTTTAAACCATTTTTTTTTCTCTCTTGGCTTATAATCGTTCTGCTGAGAAATCTGCTCTTAGTCTGAAAGGGATTCCCTTATATGTAACTTGATGCTTTTTGCTGTTTTTAGAATTATTTCTTTGTCTTTGACTCTTGGCAGTTTGAGAGAGATGTGTCTCAGAGATGACATTTTTGAGTTGAGTATTTTGGGGATATTTGACCTTTCTGGATCTTGATGTCTCTCTCTCAAGATTTGAGAAGTTGTCAGCTATTATTTTACCAAATAAGTTTTCTATGCCTTTTCTACACTCATTTCCTTCTATAATTCACCAAATGTGAATATTTACTTGATGGTTTCCCATGTCATAAAGGTTTATTCATTATTTTTTTTTAATCTTTTTTTTCCTTTTGTCTGACTGGGTTATTTTTTAAAACCCGTCTTCAAGTACTAAAATTATTTTCTGCTTGATCTATTCCATTGTTGAAGCTTTCAAGTGTATTTTTTTATTTTAATTGTTGAATTCTTCTTCAGTTCCAGGATTTCTGTTTAGTTGTTGTTTTTTATGACATTCTATTTAATTTCTCATTTAGATCACCAGGTTGTTTTTTTTTTTTCCTGATTTATGTATATTTTCTGTCTGTGTTCTTTTGTATCTACTGAGTTTTGAAAGATTATTATTTAAATTTTTTTCAGGTATTTCATAGATTTTCTTTTGGGGGCTCTGTTATTGGATAATTATTGTATTTCTATGGCAGTGTCATATTTCCTTTTTCATATGTCTTGCATCCCTACATTGATAACTGTGTATATGTTTAGCAATTTCTTCTTTCAGTTTTCTGGATTTGCTTTTTTAGGTAAACTTTTTTCTGTAGTCATATCTGTAGTGTCATTTGGGTAGAGTGTTTTGGCTTTGGTTCAGGTGGTTGCATTAGTGTAGTCTCTGTATGATTACTTTGGCTGTAAATAATGTTAGCAGTGTCTGCAGTTTCCCAAGAGGGTTCAGGTGAGGTTGTTCATGGAGTCAGCGACAAGACTTGTCTGGGGACAGGGATATCTTGTGGGCTTGTTCTTTGGCTCCTAAGGGTTGTGCATCTTTGCTGGCAGTGTTAGCAGTGGGTTGGTTCTTGGGCTCCTTGGTGGTTATTGGAGGCACATGGTGGCCTTACCACTGGAGTTCATGAGGTCATCATTTGTGGTGCGCACTGGGTGGGCCAGCCCTCAGGCCCTCAGACTCTCTGTTTGTGCACCGATTGTATTTGTAGCAGGCCTTGGTTGAGCCAATCTTTGAGTTCACAGGTGGCACACATGGGTGCCTTCATTTTTAGATGGATATTTTATCAAGGTACAAACTTGGATTCATAATTTTTCTCAAGTATTTTAAACATATTGTCCCATTGTCTTCTGGATTTGATAGTTTGTGTTAAAAACTCATCTTTAGGTTTTCTTGTTTTTCTTTTGAAAGTGATATGTCTTTTTTTCTCCCTCTGACTGTTATTAAAGTGTTCTTGTTATCTTTGATTTTCAGCATTTTGAGTGCTGATTGTGGTTTTTTTCACCTTTGCCAGTGTGGTGTTTGCCATACTTCCCAAGTCAGAATGTTAATATATTGTATCAGTTTTAGGCTAGTCTCAGCAATTTTTAACTTTTTCTGAAAGTATTGTTTCTCCTCACTTTCTGTCTACTTTATTCTAACTGGAATTGTATTTGTGTTAAAGTGTTTAATTCCCACATATCTCTTATGCTCTGTTCATTTCATTTTTTTCATGCTCTGCTTCAGTGTGGATATTTTCTGCTGACCTATATTCAAATTCACTAATCTGTGCTTTGCTGTATTCAGTCAGTTGTAAAATCCACCCACCAACTGCTTTATTGCAGATAGTGTTTTTCAGATATAAAATCATTATTTAATTTTTAAAATAGATTTTCATTCTTGGTTGAAGTTTTCCTTTTTTCATCTACTTTGAAGATCTTTCTTAAAGTCCTTGTCTTCTAACTCTATATCATCTGTGGGTCTGCTTATATTTATTCTCTTTTCCGTTGATTGTTAGTCACATTTGTGCCCTTTTCCATACCTTGTAATTTTTATCGTATACCAAATATTGATTAAAATAGAGCAGCAGAAATTGAACTAAATATTATATTTCTTCAATTCTGTATTAGAAAGATAAGATCAAGTGCTAATCACCTCAACTCAATTATGAATCTTACTGCATCAAGTTTGGGTGGCAGCTTTTGATACACTTAGATTGCCTTTGATTTTAAATGTCCTAATGACAAGAACTGTTGTGTTGCAGACTATTCTGTCTGGTGACTTTGTATTTATATACTGTAAAATTGTTGAAGATTTTACTCTACCTTTCTGGTCCTGCTCCCTTTACTCATTTCCTCCTGCTCCCCACCCGCTAAGGGGATGCTTTTGGTTGAGAGCAAATATCTTGTGGGAAGACCTATTAAAATTTTATCCTCACAGTGGTAGGCTCCATCTGTTCTAGTGTGACTTTGACTTCTAATCACCACAACATTACAGGGATTATTATTTGCCCCATGGCCTATTCTCCCAACTGCTGCCCCAAATCTTCTTAGGTAATTCTGGCACTCAGCAAATTTTTCAGGGAGAAAACTGTCTGTAATTTTGGGCTTCATCAGATTCCAGTTTTTCATGCCAGCTTACAAATTATCAAGAGCAGTGCTGGTTTTTCTTTTCCCTAGTAGTGTCCTTCTTTCTTATCTAGCCTGTGTCTAAGTGGCAAATCCTTCCAGAAATTAAAATAATCAGCAGGATTAACTGACTTAAGAGATATTAATCATCAATCATCCTGCAAATTTAGTTTATCCTTTTTATTTCCATTGCTCACCAATATTTTTAAAAATATGATTTTGTAGTTTGTCTCTTTTTTTCCTAGTTGTTGTGGGGCAATGACTTGCTACTGTGTACTAGTAAATTAATCTTGTAACAGTAAGAACAAAATTTAGACCGATATGTTTATTATTTTATATAATGTATTTATATAGAGTTGGTGTGCTTAAAGTAGTGGATTGTTATTGAAATGTTGGCTGGTTTAGAATATTAACATTTGTTGCTAAATTCACCAGGCCTATAAATAAACCAATATTAATATTTGGTGAAAAATTTTTAAAAAAGCCATTTTTCATTTCAAAATGTCTTTTGGTCAGCAACAGCTTAAATGAAATGTAAACAAAAATTAATTTTTTTTTCTTTTCCCCATTCTTATTTAGTGAGTGATAGTTGCTTCAGGAATCTTGCAGAAGATCGCAGTGGGATAAATCTCAAAGATCTCGTACAAGATCCTTCTTTGTGAGTATTTTGCTTTCAGTATTATGTATAAATTATTAGTGTTCCTTCTCTCAAAAGAGTTTTATCTGAAAACTTATTTAAGGTGCAACAATTTTTTCTTTTCTAATACTGTGTTTTGCATGTATTGAAGTCTGACAGAAGTTTCTTTTTAGAAATAGAATAGATTTTAGAAGGAATGATGTCATGATTAATGATAGATTTTCAAGGAAGAATGCTGATGGCTGATAATATCTAGCCAATGTGGCAGTAGCTACTAGCCAAGGAAGATGATTAGTAGTTGATTTGCTTGGGAAAGATAGATTGAATTTGTTTACAACAATTTGAAGTTTTTTGAATATATTATTTATAGCAATTATTTGTAATTATAATTAGAAATATAAAGTAGTTATTTGTAATAACAATATACATTTGAATATGTTAGATATATTTCTAATGTTTTACATATGGCACAGGAATTTGAGGAGTTTTATAGATTTCAGTTTTTAATTTTTTTGCTCATCAGTCAGTCCCATTCTTTATTAGCATATCTTTCTAATACATATATTCTACAGTAATGTAACTTTCTATTTCATGAATTTTTTTACAGTTTTATATTTACTGGTAAATATGCATACTATCTATGAACACACCTTCCCAATAATATCACTGTTTATTAAAAAAATTATTAAAACTAGTTAAGCTTGTGGAGCAGAGTAAAGAAAATTGAATGCTGCCAGGTGCCTTCTTTAATGACACATATAATGCATACAATTAAATGTGTCCTAATAGGAAATCCATCTCCCAGATCACATGTAATCTACCCTCCCACAGGATTCACTAATAAATCATTGAGAATTTTGTGAGGAATAAACACAAGAATGTCTTGAAGATTATTGATTATTTAATGATTGACTACTCATGTTAAAAATATTATGAGAGTGCTGAAAATGTATTGAATATCAAAGTTCATATATAATGTCATGAGTTCAGAATGCATTTCCAAGTCTACCTCTCTCCGTTTTTTTCTTTTCTCGATCTTTCTTTTTCTAACTCAAAAGGATTGCGAATATTCCTCCTCCTTGATTTTTTATCTCTATGAAGATAGACAGCTGTCCTTTGAGTCCTGTGAAAATTTAACCAACAATGTAATGATTCCGTTTGGATGTAAATATACCTAGTGAATAACATTTAATTGCATTAAGAGTTCTACTTTCCTTATGGATATGGGTGGAAACTTTACAGTTTCCTCAAAAGGCTTTGCTTATTTGAATGAATAAAATAAATTATTGGCTGGGCGCAGTGCCTCATGCCTGTAATCCCAGAACTTTAGGAGGCTGAGGTGGGTGGATCACGAGGTCAGGAGATTGAGACCATCCTGGCCAACATGGTGAAACCCCGTCTCTACAAAAAATACAAAAATTAGCTGGGCGTGGTAGTGTGTGCCTGTTGTCTCAGCTACTTGGGAGGCTGAGGCAGGAGAATCTCTTGAACCCAGTAGGCAGAGGTTGCAGTGAGCCAAGATTGCGCCACTGCACTCCAGCCTGGGCGACAGAGCGAGGCTGCATCTCAAAAAAAAAAAAAAAATTATTATTGTATTATTTGTAAGATATATTTTAGTAAAATAAGACTGTATATCTGTTTAATGCAGCAATATGATGAAAAAAATTTGCTCATATGAACTCCAATTATACAAAAGATTTGAAGAATTACACTTGAATAATGGATTATAATAATCAATTGTCTTGTTTTGAGAAAACTTGTTGCTTCTTCCTGGAATGTAGAGTAACATTCATCATTCAACCTACCACTAAATTCTATATTTAATTTTAGTGTTCTAAAAAAAATTCATCTCAGACCACTTCATTGGAAGGACAAAATAGTTCTCAGTGTACCTTTATTAAAACAGCCAGAAATATCTTAATATGGCATCATTCTCTTAACCCGCCATTATCCTCTTGGATTAGTCTAGTATATAAGAATGTCAACATTCATGGAGAAAGAGTTTGTTTTTGCTCCTGCCTGCTTGACTTCCTAAGGAATTTTTTCTTTATTAAGAACTGTCAGGAGATACTATTGATGACTTGAATTCGTATTTTAAAGATATATTCCTCATTAGGTAAAATCTTCCAGAGAAAATAATGCCCAATGTGGAAATATATATATATGTATATACTCATATTCATGTGTTGTTATGATGGGAAATATTTTATTCTGAGTTCCTGTCTGGTTGCAGTATTCATTTAGTATGTGCATTGTAGGTGAGGATTTTTTTTTTAAAGCTAGGTGTCTCTTTTCTGTCTCAGACTCTTGACATAAATGTTCACTACATTTCATTGATTCAGGTATACTAGATGGTCCTACATGGAGTTGAATTGTTTATGTTGCAACATTGAATAGGAAGTATATCAGAAATACTTTTGTTTTGTTTTTACAAAAATCTCCTTTTCGACCGGGCGCGGTGGCTCACGCCTGTAATCCCAGCACTTTGGGAGGCCAAGGTGGGCGGATCATGAGGTCAGGAGATCGAGACCATCCTGGCTAACATAGTGAAACCCCGTCTCCACTAAAAATACAAAAAAAATTAGCCAGGTGTGGTAGCAGGTGCCTGTAGTCCCAGCTACTTCGGAGGCTGAGGCAGGAGAATGGCATGAACCTGGGAGACGGAGTTTGCAGTGAGCCGAGATCGCCCAGCAGCACTCCAGCCTGGGTGACAGAGCGAGACTCCGTCTCAAAAAAAAAAAAAAAAAAAAAAAAACTCCTCCTCAAAAAATTATTGTCATTTGATAACTACTCCAGACTAGTCTGATGGTTATTAAAATTGTGTACATGTCATTTTAATACATGTTCCATATAAAAATTATTAGAATAAGATGTGTGTTGAGTGAATGCTTTGTATGTTAATGTGCCTGGTAGATTCGTATTATGATTCACCCACTTGAGCTGCTGATACTGAAAGGAGTTGATGGTAAATAATAATTAAGAACTTTAGCCCCAATACTGTTAGAAAGGAAGACAGAATAATAGAGCAAGAAAAATTAGGCTAAGGAAAACCCAGGCTTATCTAGTCAATATTGATACTCAGAGAAGTGTATTATATATCTTAATTAGATAAATGAGCTGATACAGAATTTCTGTAGACAAAGTACAGAAATAAAACTCTAATGAATTTTATTAAGAATATATGATATAAAACAGTGTTTAAACCCAAGAGTAGTCAGAGCTAGATGAGGGGCTTACTGTGTCAGAGATTGAAAGTGCAGAACCTAAACTGACTAATTCATACTCTAACTCTGTGTCAGGCTAATGGAACAATGATAGGTACTCTGTAATTTACTTAAACTGTATGGTACAAACTCCAAGATTTTACTGCCATTGTAGTAAAACTTGTTACTGGGCTTGAATGAACCGAGTGAGCTATTGTGTGAAGATGACGGAGAGATGCCATGGGAGAAAAAAATATGAGAAAGTTATGAATCTCTAAGCAAGACTTTCTGGTCTAGCTACTGATTTTTCAACTGTTGTAATCATAGGAGCAGAATGTGACTTGTGGCAAGATTGAGGTTAAGGGAATACCTGACAAACTCTTTTATTTGGGTAGTTACTCTAAGAATACTTGTTTCTATCACAGTCCTGTAGGTGTTGAGTGTAAGAGCAAGCAGAGGAACTTGACATTCACTTTTTGCTGATCAATGTGCCCAAGGGTTTGTTTGAATTAGTAATTTTCATGCATGCTTAATTTTGAAATAAACAGTGTAACAATGTGACTGTTTTAGTAGCTCATCTGCTATTTATGGTTATAAATATTTTGATGTTGATTTCCTCTGCTGTATGTATCATTTATCAATTTGAGTGTGTTATAAGAACTCTTGCTATAGTTGTGGTCTCAGTAGCGCATTGAAAGTGTTATCAAGTGTAACTTGATGTTATCTCTATATTAGAAACTTATCTAATGTGCTACATAATTTTCATGCATATAAGAAGTTATTCTTAGTGTGAGATTATTTTTCAAGTGGAGAAATACGTACTATGGAAGTTATTAAATCATTTGTGTTTCTTCTGGAGAGATAGTATTATGTGCAAAAGAGGTACTCTATATAAAGTACATTATTTTGGATTGTATTCAGTTGTATTCTCTATAGAGGTAATTCTTAAACATACTTTCAAATCTCCATGTACTATGTGCTGCAGATAAGAAATACAACATATTACCATATTTATGCTTTAGATTTCTTATTGCTTATTTATAAGCTAGCATAATTATTTGAACTCAGACTCATTTATAAATATTATGAAAAGTTAGGAATCACAAAAAAGAAAAAAGTTAGAAATCAAAAGAAAAAGAAAGCATAAGAATGACAACTAGAGAAATATGTTTGTACTATTTATGATGGTGATGCTGATTGTGTACATGTGGAATGTGTCTCACTTTATTTAATTTGCAAAGGCTCTTACAAATTTAGGACCATTTTAGATGTGTGCTCTGTAAGATGGCTAGAGGAAGAATTTTTTTTAATGAATTCTTCATGGAAGAATTGGCCATCTCTGAGTGTTATCATTCAGAATGCAGGATATTATTTGACTATAAGGATATTTCTTTAGAGTCAAATAGGACACATTTTCCATTGTAGGTATATACAAAATTTTGTTTATCCAGTCATCCATCAGCGAACACTTGGGTTGCTTTCCCCTTTTTATTGCTGTGAGCAGTGTTCTTATGAACATGAGTGTACAAATATCTTTTTGGATCCTGATTTCAATTCTTTTGGATATATACCTAGAAGTAGAATTACTGGATCATATGGTAATTCTATATTCATTTTTTTTTTTTTTTTGGAAGGACCACCATATTATTTTCTGTAGCAGCTGCACCATTATACAGCTCCACTGGCAGTGTCTATCAGGCTTCTGATTTCCCAACGTCCTCACCAACACTTATTTTTTTAAATTGTAGTTATCCTAATGGGCATGAAGCGATATGTTCTTGATGTTTTTAAATGAACTTTACTTGCTTCTTCACATCT